ATCACCATTCAATTAATCTTTAAATAAAAAAATATTTCAAAACTTTATCATTTTAATAAAATTTTTAAAAAGATTAAAATATCTTAATTATTTTAAAAGTAAGAATGATGTTGTTTTAATTTTTTTGGATAATATTGATTAAAATAATGTAATTTTAATATATTTTTTCACCTAATTTTTTTGTAATTTCAACGTAGAAATATTAATCTCTTAACTAAATTAGACCACTAGAAAATAAAATAATTAAATTAAATCAAAGGGAGTAATACTATGGTTTGATTTATCCATACTTCGTATTGACTGTTTTCATACAGCATTCGTAAATTTATTTTTTTTAATTATTTTTAATTAATTATATATTTTTTATTAATTTTAATTTATATTTTGTCTATTTGGAGGTTAAAAAAAATAAGAAAATTTATTACTACGATACAAATTGACAAAGAAATATATATATATATATACTTTCTATCTCTAAATAAATGTAATTTTTTAACCTTTTTTATATTAAAGAATTAAGAATAATTTATGTATTTATAATATCTTTAAAAAAAAGTTAAAAGATAAATAAAATTATAATTGAATAATTAATTAAAATAAATAATAATAAATTTAAAATTAAAAAATATTTATTTATTTAAAAAAATTATAAAAATTAATTTTTTATTTAAAATAAATTTAAAATAAAAAAATGACAATAATTTTTTTTTTTAAATGAGTGAGTACTACTAAGTGAATGGAGGTTTTCTGTATATAATTGAAATTTCACACAAAAATTATCATTAAAAAGTCCAACTGCAACAGAAACTTTAGAGAGCTAAAGCCCAACTTTGAACACAGTCAGGCTTGCGCTCTGCTCAGCTCTATGGTAGTGTCTAGTCCAAGTGTCCAACACAGATCCAAAATTGATTGTGGGCCTTACCTTGTCCTGAGATCGGTAAATAAATAGTCTCGGCATTTGGCCTTTCGGCTGTATATCATCATATCATGGACCGACGTTTGTATTGAAATTTTGAAAGCGCCCATCAACCTGGTAATAGCCAACATTAGATGAGGAATCATTGGGTCTTCTAAAATTTCAATTGCTAGGATTTGAGAGTAAGTGTAAATAAAAATATCAATTTTTAATTTTTTATTTAAAAATTAATTAGATAATAATACTAATATAACAAATGAATTTTTTAATTGAAATATTAAAAATTATTATTTTTAAACAAAAAAATAAAATTGATATTTTTATATAAAAATTGACAAAATTATTGTTTTTAAATAAAAAAATAAAATTAACATATTTATATAGATTTTTTCTCCATAGGATTCCAAGTTTCCAACCTCAATCTAAAATGCAAATACAAAAAAGGAGAAAATTAATTATGACACGTACTTATCAACTAATTTAAATAAATTAATTACGATACCTCATACCAACTGATTTAAGTAAATTTTAAGCGAAACATTCCAATTCTTTTATCCCAATTATTATTGTACTATTAGCAATAACAAAAATTTCAATAAAATAAAATAATCTTACAAATAGAGTTGATTAATTTTGCAAAATTTCGTTGATGTGGGGGTGGTGGCATCTAAGGAAACTCGCTTTCTAGTTAGTGTCTTCATTGGTCAAATTTTGGGGGCCAACCTTCTTTTTTTTTTTTTTTAAACATGTTACAAATTTTTGGGAAAAAAGGATGCGAAATTCAATCCTAAAATTGAAATGCATTTTACGATAAATCGAATCAGATCGGTTGATTGAACTGATTGAATTGGTACCTGATAGCATAAATGATTCGGTTGTATTTTTTAAATTGTTTGAACTGTAAATCATTTGAAATCGATAAAAATTATTGAAACTGTTCAAACTAATAAACCATTTGATCGAACGGTTTAATGTTTGGGCATAAAATCTTCAAAAATTTGTCTTCCGTGAGACTTGAACTCACAATTCCGAAACCTTAATTTCGATCCAAAAGTTTTTAACTAAATTATTGATGATAGCCATGGAATTCAAACACCCATTCTCTATGATATGAAACAAAAACTACCACTTGAGACACAACTTTCTATTTATTATTTCTTTACTTTACAATATATTTATTATATTTTAAAAACCACAATTATATTAAAATTTGTTCTCCCGAAAGCTCAAACTTATGATCTTTCAAATGTCAAATCAACTACCTACTCTTGCTCCCAATCAACATTTTGTGAAATATTTTACAGAATAATATATTTATAATAGTTTGATCAACCTAATAGTTTTACTAGTTAAGCCGATTAAATCGATTAAATTATGAACCAAAAATTAAAATGGTTTAATCTCCTATTTGAGTTTAAAAACATTGCGTATAACCGTCAGGTCATTGGGCTTACGAGGTTCACGTGTGGGAGCTAACATTATTAGTAGTTTAGTACATAATATCAAAGTCCTAGGGACAATAGTTTGAAAATTCAGCCAACGAATCATTTCTTTGCTAATTATTCAATGTGAGCGGAACCTTCCATACCAGAACAAACGCGGCCAACGCGAGCAACACATGTCCAGCTCACCCACCTCCCAAATCTGACGCGGTTTTGGCAACCAGGCCCTTGTATTTTTGCATATTGCTAAAATTTGTCTTTCAAGTTCTCTCTTTCTCAGAGTTTCTCTACTCATCTCTTATTTTCATTTTTTTGAACTAGTGCAATTTTGGGAAGAAGGGAAGGGGGATGGATGGTCAAGTTACCCAGTGATTGGTGTGTCTGGGGCTCAAATATGGATTTTCAATAATTATTATTTTCATTTCACTTTCACTCTTAAAAAAAGGAGCGAAAGAAAACATAACAAATATGAAAATATGCCAAAATAGATGGGCTCAAATGCAAATAGTATAAAATAGCATTGAATGTTCATAATTTAATAATTTGGTGGGAGGCAGAAAATCAGAA